CTTTGAAAATATGTATATTGTTGCGTCATCGAGATCACGTGACAATTCTCACGCTCTCTTGTTTCTAGAACTATCTTGTTCTTTCGGGAATGCTCTAGTAATTGCTCGATGTAGGGTGGGCTGGTATATAAAAGATGGGAATGTAATGTGTGGGACTCACTATCTATAATTGATCTGCGGTCAGAGTATTATTGACGTTCGTTGCTATAGCGTTTGTTTAGCGCGATTGTTGAAGTTCAGTGTATTGGTTAAGTTATATTCGGAAAGAATAAACCAGTTTTATTAAGTAAAGACTTGTGTCGTTAAAGTTTCGTTGAAACGAAGTTACGGAAAATTAATTAACACACGGAGACGTAACAATACCAAGTACTTCATCTTTTGTAAGATTACATTTACTGTTAACATAATTGTTGATGGCGAAACTTGAATCCAGACGGGTTTTTTTCTTAGATGAGAGGGGAAGTTTTTTTAAGTTGGATTCAATAGCTGGGATTGAATTCTCTGAGACGTTAAGGACATGTTTTTTAAGCCACAGTATAGCGGCTCATAGAATTGCACTGAGTTTTTCAAGTACAAACTTTTAGTTCGCAGCTTCGTCATCTTTTGACCGATTTGAGATCTAATTACAGATTTGGACTCGGGAGGTCAAACCCTTTCGAGTGGTGCATTTTTCTATTCCCAAGGTCTCGTAGATAAATTTACTCTAATCCTGCCTAAAATAATCCCAATTTGAGGTTAGGCTGGTTGAATGTAAGTGTTTTTATAGGTGATCCAATTGATTAACTAAAGTGTCGCTTGAACTACAACAAAGTTGCAGTAAAAACAAGAATTGCACTTTACCATTGGTAACAGAACATGCTATTATCTGTAACCACCGTATCCTATGGGACGAGACCGAATTAATTATCTCTGAGTAATTACACCGAACCGAATGTAAAAGTCGTTGGAAATAAGCAGAGATTTTGCTTTAGAGACAAAGGACCAGGAAATTTAGTCCTCCAGCAGTACTTGGAATAATCTTGTGTGTGTATACATATATATATATACTGTAACAGCCCTACCATCCGGTATCCTCCAGAACTTGGCTGTGCCGGATAGGCAAAATTTGCGGTTACGAAGGCGTTTCCCGTTGAGTATTATAGGAAAAATTTTCAACACCTTTTTATTGCTCTAAAATACAGTATTTGTGCATCATCGATAACAATACCAGTTTTCAACAATAATAAACGTATAAAATGACTTGAGTACAGTATTTAAACAGGCGGCTGAAAATGGAAGCTTTCCGGTGGAAAAAGAACGCAAACAAAGCCACGGCAACGATACTAAGCCACAATAAACATTTGTATTGAAACATATTTATATTTTCAATTACAAGAGCTTTCCGGATACGAAGATCCTGCATAACAACGCTTTTACTGTATATATATTTATGAACATTATATTTTGTATATTGTTTTATATTTACATATTTAGTATTTATGAGTGTATTTATTAACAGATTTTATTTCATTTAAATAGAACGTTATTTGGAAATTGACGTGTACCACATTTTATTGAAACTTGTTTTTTTTTTTTAATTCAACATTGATACTGTTGTCTCGTCTATTTTTTTTATTTCTGATGTTGGCAGATACATATGCAACAAAATACCTTTACTTTCATCAATTAAGTACCACAAAATGTACGAGTAAACCAGTTTATATAAGAACAGCTCATTATAGTGTGACGTTACGTTTAAGTTTTAACATTCGCTAGTAAAATATTGGAACGAAATGGAGTAAAGTTTTATAAGAATCCTCACTGCCGACAGTCATTTACTGTAAAGAGCGTTACATAATGTAAACACCAAAGAAATTAACAATCTTATTATTATACTTCCGAAATCCCAGTTTAAAAACAAGTTCATTATTTCCTGGCATGTCAGTTGTGATAACTTGGAATTATTATTGAGACTTCACTTCATTAAGATCTGCTCTTTCGCCTTTTATTCTAAACCTTCTTTCAGTGCCCTCGAAACGTGACATAATTCAGCTGTGACCATGAGCCTGTCAAGAAATTGTAAAAAAAAACAAAAAACAACAACATAGAAACAAACATGATTTTTGTACTTAATACCATTGGTGATTAGTTGTTAACCTTTACTGATGGAAGGGGGGCTACTATCCTGATTTCTAAGGGGCTGATAGCAATTCCATAATTCCTCTAATGTAGTTTGATTACGTGTACCACTTGTTTTATATATGTTAGGGAACTAAGATCGTGCGACCAAAGTTAGCCAGGCACACTTCTAACCGCATAAATAAACACACACACACATTCTGTAACAAGAAAGCATTTCTTACATTTTTCGAATTCACAGAATGTGCTTGTTTTGCTTGCAAGTGAACGACTATACACGTCTCCAAATTGGGGATATATATCTCATCCAACTTTCCTCTACAGATTTCTAGAAGAAGCCACCCAGTGTAGCGTCTCAGTCTACGAAACCTTCGACTGCTTAACAGAAGATATTAAGAACTTCCAACGAGTGGGTTACAGAGCTACGAAGGCATCACTTAGCTTTATGTGTGGAAACAACCAAGCCAACATTGCAAGTGAGTATATCCTCAATCCTCGGATTACCTTTTACAGCTAGTGTTAATATGTCATAATTTCAAATCTCACGTTGTCTTAAATTATTTCTCAACAGAATCGTCGATAGTAACTGTTAACTGTAATAATGAACAGATGTGGACGATAGTGCTATAATCACACTGTATATACATGTGCACGCTATCACTGAAAGCAAGTAAAATGATGACTGACTTATTTCCAACACAGAGTTTATTGAAGGCGGAGGGATTGACTGTATAGGTAAGATTTCCGCCACTGAAGATAGTAGCTGTTTCGTAGAAATAGCGTCGCTAGTAAAAGAACAAGGCGTTCAAAAGATTTTTAAATCATGGGATTTTACTTGTGGGTAAGTAATCGCTTATTGTAGTTTTCTTTCTTTTTCATTTTTGTGTGTATTTGAAAGAGATGCTTAACTAATTTTTTTCGTATGCATACTGAATCACAAAGAAGGTTTTAACTTCGTGCATCTTAAGCGTTATTGTAAATTTATATATCAGTGTTTAAGCGTGAACTTTAATATTATCGTAAGTCAGTTCTCGATTTTTATAACACCAAAGCCTAAATTACCAGTTTTTTTTTTAATAAATCAGTTTTGGTTTCATGAATATATTTTATTTAAACAGGTTAATGGAGAAAGCTGTTGGCTGCTTAAGCTCCATGTTGTCCAGCTGTACCCAGGACGTTTCGGATATGTTTAATGGAGTCGTACTATCTTACCTAAAAGAAACTCCTTGTTCTTCTACAGATAATTCTTTACAGTACTTCAAGTACCAGCACGAAGATGGCACGGAACTGGGACAATTTGATTTCGTTGGTTTAAATTAACTCCAGCGAAATAGCTTATGAAGCATTTAGTAATGATGAGTTCCTACATCCACATTCATCGAGTTTTCTTAATTTAGTTATATTAAGTGTATCATTAATGCTACTCTGTTTATACGTAGATCATACGTGTGTGCATTTATAGTTGTTTTTAAATATATCTGTTTCTTCAATATCATTTCTTTTTTTCTGTTTGGTAATTTAACCAAAAATATTGATTCTGTTATAGTTACTTAAATTGTTTTGATGAATATTTCCGACTCATAATCTAATAAAACGTTTAAAACGATTTAATTCAACAAACGTTATGATTAAATCAAATATAAAACAGATGTAAAAAGTATTTTATTAGCAAATGAAGTCAATTTCATAAAATATACTGACACGAAGCCCTTAGTATCATAAATTAGTACACGAGAAATGATAAACGCATTGCTTCATCAATTGGGCACTCTCCATTGTGATAATAGGCCTAACCCCATATACTAATGCAATATTCATAAATGAACCAGCTAATTTGTTTGTTTGTGTTAGAGCAAAGCCACATTGGGCTATCTGCTGATGTGAACTGCGTGCAATCGAACTCCTAATTTTAGCGTTGTAAGCCCGTAGACTATTCCAGCGGTGGACATACCAATTAATAACAATAATATTAAAATGTCTTAACCAACAGTTATGTTGAAGAAAAGTGGAGTTTGTCATTACTTACAAAACACATAAAATAAAATTCTTTGCTCCATCCAGCTACCCACATAACCATGTAACTTCACCGTAGTTGTTTGATACTTAATAAAAACATAAATCAAATTTGTGTTAACACTGAAAATAACAAACAATAAAAATGTCTAACAAACTTCTTATTTCTTTCAGGTAAGAATTTATTGGATCTGATTCATGAAAGTAATGATAAATACTAACACGGCTGTCATAGCAGAATTGGGCATTGTATTATTAAAAGTTAAATTTCTGAAAACTGCAAAAGTAAGAAAAGTCAACTTTCACAAGTAGTCACCGGGTGGGACAGCGGTAAGTCTACGAATTTACAAAGCAAAAAGCTACAGTTCAATTCACCTCGGTGGACACAGCAGGTAGTAAGTACTTTGCCATATTAAACAACAACAAAAACTCATTTCACAAATAACTTTCTTCTTACATTTACATCCTAGACATCAGAGGGCGACAAAAGTTGACTTTTTGGGTTTTAAGAGGGAGAAATTCTTATTACTAGGTCTACATAAACATGATAGATGTATATATAAATGAATGTTCGATAATAAATTCGAGTTCTAGCCACGGTAAAGCCATAAAATTACAACATCGCAGGATTTGGAGAATTGACATAAACGTGAAAGTATAAGTATCGCTTTTAAAACAAATAATTCTTACTGTCAAAAACAAAAATGCATCTAGTATGTTAAAGGCCTTCAAATAATAGTTGGATATAAACTGCCAGAAAAGTTTAAGGTTTGTTTCACACGAGCACTAAAGTCCAGTAATCACCCGAGCCCTATTTTCTAAAACTTCTGATTGGTCGGATGTATACGTATACAATTTTGTACACTAGTACAGCTCCTAAAATTAAGAAACGTTTATGAAAAAAAAATCAGATTTTTACTACAGAGAACATTACTGATATATAGTTTGCGAAAACCATCACTCGTAAAACATAACGCCTCGATGAGATAGTGGTAAGTTAATGGACTTGTAACAATAAAATCCACGGTTCGATTCCCCGCGGTGATTACAGCATATAGCCCAGTGTGGCTTTGTTCAAAAAAAGTATCAACAACAACAAACTTAAAAAAGAAACATAAAATGTATTCTGCATGCATTATATGTGATATAAGTAGAAGCTGAAAATGTTTCTAATTTTGATCACCACACTGGACATTAATTTAAAATTTATCAAGTAAAGATTTCGTGTTACTAGAGAGTAGAAAAACTCCATGCTTCCCTTTGCAGTCGAACACAGAAATGTTTTCAGCTTCTATGTACGTGATTTATAAAGTATTTACATGTCGTACAATTTGCCCACCCCCAGTGGCACAGCGGTAAGTCTCCGGATTTATAACGCTAGAAATAGAGTTTCGATATCTGTGCACAGCACACATAACCCATTGTGCAGTTTTGTACTCAACTGCAAACAAACCAAGTCGTACAATTTATCGACCTGCGACAGCATCATCTAGTAACCAAATTCTAAAGCTTTTCCAACAAACTTCTCCTTGAGAATGTTTTTTTTAGGTGAAAAGTTTATTTGGTGTCGAGTTTTGTTTTTTTTGTGAGAATGGTTACAACTAAATATTCAATTAACTATATGTACATAGAAAAGTGAATGGTAATGTACAGCGTTAGATCTAACAGTTATATAATATTTAGTTGGGGGGGGGAAGAGAAACAAGTTTTATTCTTTTTAAAGTTGCATCGACTTTAACATTTGGTTCTTCTGCAACAAAATACGAAGAGGTGATGAAAATAAATTCATAAACAGCCAGTTAGTTCACTTGATAATAATGGGTAACTAACTGTGATAGTATGTGACATGTTATACAAACACCTAAATTATTTTGGGTCATTAGTGATGAGTAAAGGCCTATTCTTCAAAACCAAATATTCAGCCTATATCCCACCACTATGGGAAGTCTTCTTTATATATTTGCTTTGCTATTCCAAATAGTACTGATGACCTGTGAATTCTTCGAAACTAGTCTGCTTCAACGGGGGTAGCCAATCAAATGATAAATTACGCCTCTACATCATATTATCTTTACTGATATTCAGATTTTAGTGAGGAAGAGAATGTCATAAATAGATAAATAACCAGTTAGCCTGCTTGAATAGTAATAGGTAATTAAGTTAATTGTGATGGTATGTCACATGCTAAACAAATACCTAAAGTATTCTAAGTTAAAAGTCATGAGTATATATCAAAATAAACTAAAGAAGCTGTTGTATTTTGTGCATCTATCATCGCACATTAACTCTCAATTATTTTTCTTGCAGTACTCTTATTTAGCAGTAATCGATCATTAACCAACCGGGGAGGTGGGAATTTTGTGACATTTTAACGTCGGAATGTACCCAGAACTGAGGCTTTTTTACTTTGAACGTACTTTCAATATAGTTCAGTTATTTTCTATTGTATCTCTCTCATTTAGCACAAATCCACCGAGAAAAAATATCGGGGATCTTCCCAGCACCTCGTGCGTATAAATGATAACTATTGTTTGTCAGCATGTATATTCTTGAACATCATAATTTTCTTTGGATTTTATTTGTTTGTTAAATTTCAATTTGCTTTCCTTTAAAACTTTTATAAAACTGAGTTCAGTACTAGGTGATAATCCTAAAGATTTTTATGACTGGTTCTGACCCCACTCGTGTGGAAATAGGCTGCCTCACATGAGGCTGCAGAGAGTACCTTTACGGATTTCGATGATCTTCTGGTTGTATACTATCTTACTAATTCCCCATCTTTGGCTTTTTCTAGCTACACTATACAATATTTTGTTTCCCAGCAACATTCATTGAAACTAATTGTCTATTTATAATTAATTACCAGAGGTGAGCTTGCTTTATGGCTTCCAGTTCCATCCTTTTGATATTTTCAGGAAGCTTGAATGTCCAACCAGACTTATTGAGAATGTTGTTGCTCCATGAAACGATGAATGCCCAACCAGCTTTCTCACTGTCTTTGGTGTAGCAACTATCCGTGGTTATGATATCATATGTTTGTCCACTATGATGTTTATGTAAGTGCTGACAGGTTTTATTCTGCTTCATCTTCTGCCCAATCCCTACATTTTTTGCACGGACTGCTTTCCATAGATCCAGTAGTACCAGATGTTTATTCCAGATGAGGACATCTAAGATATGAGAGTGACGCATTATCTCAGTGGGGACTGCATAGCACGTGTCTACCTATTACTGTCTCCTGTGATGTATTTTAAGCAATCCACTGCCTGATGGTTTCTGCAAGGTCATTGTTGAGCTAAGTATGTCCCAATTGAAAAAGGTAGTGGCTCCATGATGGAATGTATGTTATTTACACTGCAAGGCCCTATTGAAGAATTTTGCTTGTAAGTACTGTGGGAATTTTGGGATGTTGCTGAATCTTCTGGAAGTTTGAAAAGGGTGGCTGAAATATATCCCGTGACTAGTCTTAAACAGATGTTTAGCTGTGTAGCGCCCATTCTGATCACCAGTAGTGCATAATACGGGATAAAGCAGATACGACTTTAGTAGATCATAAGCAAATGACGTTTTTCAGCTTTGTTTCCTTTTGCTACATTTAGTGCATTGATGTCTTTTGTAACTCTTCTAATTATCCTGGTGTTAATATGGCCAGTGAAGTTCAATTGTCTGTCAAAGGTCACCCCCAAATATGTAAACGTTTATTCCAAAGGGATAGCACTGCCTATAAATGATGGTGATGTTTGTCCTCATCAATTTATCTATTATTGCGTGTGCAGAACGTGGCTGTGACTTTGGCAGGATTAATCACCATTCCCGTGCCATTGCAATATTTTCTCTCCCTAATAAGTGATGGTTGAATCTTACTTTCAATGTTGGATTTTCTGGACCCTCTGTTGTGGATCAAAATGTCTTCAGTGAATGTTAGTACATAACATGTGGTTGGGCTGTCAAGTCGGGCTAGATGCATGATGCAGATATTGAATAGAAGTGACGATCTTTGAGACAAAGCAGTATTGATGGTGATCCAGTCTGATTGATAGTGTTCATGCTTCATGATACACTTTCTGGTAGTTAGTGCAGCTACGTCCTATTCTTGTACATGATACACTAATGCCTATTCTGAGCATTTTATCAGCAACAGGATAAATGGGCTGCTAGACTCTACTGTAGAAAATTTGCAGATCTAAAACTACTGCAAGGTGTTCCGACCAGCTTCAAAGCCTTCCCTTGTATCAGTTGTGATTTAGCACAACTGTCTTTATCTAAAACTGGCATAGAATGATGGTTTAGGCACATTACAACGAGGAGTGTACACACCATATAAAAGTTTTAAAATGTTTCAAGTAATGAAAGATAAAAAAACATTTTAATAACTCAGTTTCAGAGTGAATAGCTTTAAATTTGTATTGAGAAACAAAAACGTGACTAAAGCATGACAGTATTGAATGAATGAAGATTTTCATTACTTAATTATATTAATTTATTTTCGATAACTTTTCGTACATTTCTTAATTAATGGGGATAACTCTAAATTGTTGGGGAAATATCGGATTGGAGTACACACTGAAAAGCTTTTAATTATTGAAACATCGTAAATA